ATATGAAACCTGCAATGACGCTGGATTCATCTGGGAAGAAAGAATTTCAATTATTTTTCYGAAAGCAAAAAATCCCCAGGAGTAATTTATTTGCTTGGTTTAKTTCAAAATTGCATTTTTAGGCCACAATATTTATATTATTTTTATTTATGTRTTTTTAAAAATTATTATTAATTAATTTGACCAAACTTCAACAAACTCCTAAGTCATAAAAGGAAATTGGGATCTTTTTTGATGTAAGGCTGGAAATACATTTGAATAAAATCAGGTATTGGTGACGTAAAGCAGGTAGAAATCATCAACAAATCAAAATTATTTCAAGCAGAAATAAAGATATTCGAAATCGCCAGGTTTGTTTTACTGTATTTGATCTTTCCAGGCTTGTTTTATGAAATCCACAYACAAAATTTCCCAGAGCCAGCCCAAGCCAGGCAAATTTTGCTGGCTACAAAACGATCTGCTCAATGTTAATTTTCATTAAGKTCAGAAAATTATTTGCTWWGGGGYTCCTGGCAGGAAAAAAGATAAAAATCCCAGGGATTTACATCTGTAATAACTACAGTTTTCCCGAGAAATCCCCGAAATTCTAAATACGGTTTAATGCAACTTCTTAATATTGTGAAGGTGTTTAATTCACGTTAATGAAGGTGAATAATGCTGAGCCTGGGGTTTCCYGGTGACCTTCACCTCCAAACCCTGTTTTGATGTTTACTCCCATTTCAGGAGAGGATAATGACAGGCAGCACGTCAGGAGTTCTGGGCCTTTCTCTAAATTTGRAATATCAAAGCCTTCATTAAGACTTATTAAATATTTTTGGGCACAAAGAGATTTATTATTTCAGTATTGAAATACGCCTGGCTGTTATGTAATACCCTCTCTAAAAACGYGGATTGGGATGTCCTGTTTCCCTGGCTTTATTAAAGTTGTAATTTATAGCTTTGGAATTGGGTCTCTGGGAGCTTTATCCCCTCTAAAAATACATCCAGGACGTGCCATTCCAATGCTCACAGGTCAATTTTCYGGCTGAATCAATACCATCCCCAATGGCACGGCGGCTCCAAATCAAAGAGCCGCTCATTCCCACTTTGAGAAGTCACAGGAAATGTTGGGAGGGATTGTCAGAGACGTTCCACRTCTTATTAAGAGTTATGAAATCCATGAAAAAAAGCAGAGGTTGGGCTTCCATGAGTATTCCAGGGTGGAAAAAAAAAAAGCACAACAAAGCACATTCACGGCGAGGTTGTCCTTCCAAAGCTGCCGCGTCCGGAATTCCGCAGGTCTCTGCTGATGCTGAAGAGTCGCCGCTGTCCCAAAGAGCAAATTCAGCACGATGATACCAAGCTTTAATTGCGCTGCGTGGTTTCGGGATTAAAGGGACACGGCCGGGTGGGGCTTCCATCATCAGGAACCCCGAGAAGCAGCGGGATATCGATGAGGGAAGGAAAAAGGGGATTGGAGGCGGCCCAGGGAACCGACGCGTGTTCCCCTTGCGGGGCGGGACTGGGAGCTCCATAAAAACCCCGCAAACCTGCGGAGGAACCATTCGCTTCTCCTGCCTTCTCCTCCTTGCAGTCGAGGGTAAGTCGGGAAGGATCTGGGAAATTCGAGTGAGTGGTGAAGGGATGAATTTTATGGTTTTTCCCCTCCTTTTTTCCCCCTGCTGATCTACAAGGGAATTGTAGGGTACGCTAAGAAAAAGAAAATCAAGTTTGTACCTTGACAGGAGTTTTTCCTATGCTAAAAGAACTTTTCCTCCCAGGATTTTTAATATTTGAGTSTTTCAAACAGCCTCAGCCCTGCAGGGAACCCCTTTCCTCTCCAGTCTTTGTCTCAGTGCAGCTCTGAGGGATTTTCCAGCCCGTTCGCTGCCGGCTCTTCTTTGTCACAGGGTCACGGTTCACAATCCCATTTTTCAGTGGGGCTGTGGGGTAAAGTTTAGAAAAGCTGCTCAGGATGGAGGATTAGGGAGTCAGGGAAGAGCTGGCACTAAAAATTGGGATGGAACCATGGCTGAGAGCAGAGGGTTCGCTGTCTCTCCCTCCCCTACGGGATTTATTCGCTGTCGGGAACACCCCTCACAACTTTTTTCTCCCTTCCCTCACCCCAGACCCGCCCTCCGCAACTCCAAGATGACTTTCTACTACCAGAGGCAGTGCGAGGAGCCCTGCTACTCCCCCTGCGGCTACGGGACCGTGTTCAGCTCCCGCAGCTACGACTGCGACAGCCCCTGCGGCTACCAGGGCTACTCCAGGAGGTTCTTTGGCTACCGCGACTGCTGCCCCTCCTTCAGCTCCCGCTACTGCACCCCCTACTCCTCCTGCTACACCCAGAGATACTCCTACGGCAGCTGCAACCCCTGCTAYCCCTGCTGAACCCGCAGRGATTTCACGGGAAAGCGGGRYTGGGAATTGGTGAYGGAATTSGCGGCGGCTGCCCCGGGGAGCTCCGAGTCCGGGACTGCGATGGGACCTGGGAGAGCTCGGGGTTCCTGTAAAGCTTCTTCAAATTTCTTTCTAAAATGCGTCGTTTTGTTTTTTTCTCTGGTGTGTATCTCAGCCCTCGCTGGGTTTGGTGGTGTAAAGGAAAAAGGGTTTAATATTTGTTAGCAAATAATTGATTTATGGCTCTTTCCCAGCTAAGTTTAATGGAACTTGGAGTGTGCCTATTTTTGGCATTTCTGACCTAACTGCATTTGAAGCTGTACCCAAGAAACTTTAAATCATCCAATCAACTTCTTTTATTGGACTTGAAGCGAGTGGAAAAGTCTGAAAATGGAAAATCAACAGCAAAAATTTTTCTAATGGAATCGGGAGGTTTTCTGCATGTCTAAATTAATGTTGTGCCTGTYCTTTCTGCTCTCTGTGCTAGTTTAGATTGTGATTCTGAGCTTTATTCTGATTAAAAATGTTACAGCATCATGAAATGGCCCTGGTTTGCTTTTTCTGCCTTTCACCCACACAGATTTTTGTCCCAGCCCGATGTTTTATGGAGTCGCACCACACCCTGGGCCTTTTCTGAAACTCCTTCTAAGCTCAGCTGAACCAAAAAAAACCCCATTTTTTCAAACCAATAAATTAATTCATTCCAATTCAGGAATTTCCTGATAAATATTTGAAATCACTCCTTTAAATTTGCTTTCACATCCCAGCCAGCATTGGACATCACATAGCCTGTAAATCACTAAGGCACAGACTGGTTGCAAATTGATTAAATTTTGGGCGATAAGACAAGAAATTGGGAGAAAATCCCTCTTTCTCCAGTGCTTTTCTGCTGGCAGTGTCTGGGATTTTTCCATCTTTCTGGATGGAGCAGAAAATTTCACTTTCCCKTCATTTCATGAAGTGCTGGTCAGGCTTGGTGGGTGCAAATGATTTTAACCCTTCAGATGCACAGCTCAAGCTGCTGTTCAAGCTGTATTTTGGTATTAAGGCCTCTAAATTTAGCTGGAACTGGTCAGAATTTCAATTTCTTTTTTCTAACTAAATCTAATCAATAAAACCCGGGGAGTTACAGAAAAATTCTGAAGTAGAAAATGGAAAGTTTGAAGTGCCTCAGAATGCACAAGTGAGACAAGGAGAGATCAAAATTAATTCTGCTGTCTGGACTCTACAGACTGATTTAGCTACTTTAACTGGGGTCTAGTTAAAGAAAGAGTTAAAATTAATGAAATTTTATTTTTTTTAATTAAAAAAAAGAATTAAAATTCATGGATTTTTAATGTATATTTTATTCACCCCAAGAAGCCTAAAGGTAAGACTATAAACAAATCCAAATTTGGAGGATGAGAAGGCAAAAGAGGTAAATTATTTGGTCTCTTGTGGCTGCTTGTGCAGAGCCACATTTGAATGAAAAGTTTGAAAGGTTGAAAATAAATTCTGACTAAAGTCAGCATTGAAATGCCTCAGCCCAGACCTTTGAAGTGACTCTTCTTCAATAATGAAGCGACTGAGAGGAGAATTAAGCTTTGAATAGACTAATAACAGCCTATAAATACAGAAAACAGTCACGGGCGTCTGAGACGKGCTTTGAACTTCTGAAATTATCAACTGGGCAAGAAAGTGAAGGCTCTATAAATTTTYGTGGAAGGACCACAAAAGAATAAATGAGTTAATTGGTACTTTTCCCTTTAAAGYCGTCCCTGGGAGTTGGGATGGTGACTAATTTCTATTTGTTGAGTGCTACCACGCAAAGGCGCCTCTGAGCAGCCAAACCTCCCACAAACCCATTCATGAGATATTTGATGATAAAAGTGGTGGCTTGAGCTTCATCTGGGCGAGGATTTCTCCCTGGAAAGGGTGGTTGGGATTGGAAGGGGCTGCCCAGGGAGGTTTGGAGTCCCCGCCCATGGAGGTGACCAAGGAASAGCTGGATGTGGCACTCAGAGCTCTGGGTTGAGTGACCACGTGGGGATTGATCAGAAATTGGGTGCTGAACTTGGAGATGTTTCCAACCCCAATGATTCTGGGATTCTGTGAACACACCCCAGCTCAATGAGGAAAATCGGAGGAGCGAACTCATAAAAACCAACAAAAACCAAAATATTTCAGCAATGCAGATTCTTTAATGCGGATGGAAAAGGCCGTAGGCAGCATCAGCGAGAGACAAACCAGCACCGCAACAACGAGCTGGAAACACAAAAACCCTAAAACAGCAGCAGCAGGGCACAGCCCGGGGCTCCACCGCAGAGATTCCCCCTGCCCGGGGCGGGTTGGGGGTCTCGGGGCCGGGCAGAGCAGGGCAGAGCCTCCCCCGAGGGTCAGCACAGCTTGGTGGGATCGCAGAGAGAGGGGAAAACGTCCGGAGGCAGCGCTGGAAACCCCAAAGGCACCGGCGGAGGGGCTGCAGGGTCACCCCGGGATGGTGACAGGGACCCCGCAGCTCCCGGGGCCACCCCAAAGCGGGGCTGGAGCTTCACCCGGGCTCGGGGGGCAGAGCACGGCAGGGGCTGGGGTGGAGCCCGCGGGCAGCGGCAGCACCGAGCTCCGGGGGGATTTGGGGTTTAGCAGGGCCCGCAGGAGCCCCCCAGGGACCGGGAACCGCAGCCCCCAAAGCCTCCAAAGCCCCCAGAACCCCCAGAACCCCCAGAGCCCCCGCGGCCGAAGGAGCCCCCGGAGCCGCCCTGCACGTAGGGAGCTCCAGAGGAGCCCACGACGCTCTGCTGCGGGGCCGAGCTGAGGATGGGYCCGGGGAAGGTGACCACCGTGGCTGGCGGCTGAATGACCACAGTGGAGTCAGGGCACTGCCGGACACACGGCTCGTTGCAGGAGTTGGCCATGGGGCTGGTGGGGCACACCCCACAGGAAGGGACGCACATGCTGGAGCAGGACATCTTTGGGTTCAGCAGGGAACGCTGCAAGACAAGGCAGGGACTCATCCCAAATCCCTCCTGATTCTGTCCCATCTGGGATCTGTGTCCCGGGACAGGCTCTGGATCATCTCTGGCACTCCCAGCACGATCCCATTCCATTGAAATGCCTGCTCTGATCTCTTGCTCCCCTCACCATCCCTGGGTCTCGCTTGCCCATGGGAGTCAAGAAAAGTCCCACATCTGAAGTGGATGGAAAATCCTCAAACTCCTGAAACACTTGAGTGCATTGGTACAACCCCAACCATCCCAACTCTGTGCCGGGAGAGTGCGAGGAGCACAGAGACAAAGGTTCCTGAGAAATCCCTAAAGGTTCCCCAAGAAATCCCCAAAGGTTCCCCAAGAAATCCCTCAGACAAAGATTCCTTGAAAAATCTCCAAAGTTCCTTGAGAAATCCACATCCAAATGATCCCCAAGAAAGCCCCAGAGGAAGAAGGGAGGACGAGAGAAGTCTTGGACTCACCACAACGATCAGTGAAGAGGCTCGGGTGAAGGCAGCTGGATGGAGCCCTGTGGAGCTCTCGGACCTTTTATACACCCCAGAGTGCCCGGGGCAGGGTCCAGGGGGAGGGGGCAACCCCCCCGCAGTAATTAGGAATTCATGCTGACCAGTTTCATGACACAGGTAATGATGGGGAACAATTCTTTGTCATCCCCCCATTCGGGACAATGTCCTGGACCAGACGATGATGGGAGGGACAGCCCTGGAGCTCAGTTTGCAGCCCAAATAAACTCTGATCTGTCCCTAATCCCTCCCTTGGCTCACAGAGAATCCCAAAAATGCTTTGGGATGAGGCTGTGAGCAGCCCTGTCACCCTGAGCCCCAGCCTGGCCATGGGCAGCAGTGTCCAGCTGGGCCTGTCCTGGGGGCACAGCCAGGGCCAGTCTGATTCTNCACCGTGGAGTCAGGGCACTGCCGGACACACGGCTCGTTGCAGGAGTTGGCCATGGGGCTGGTGGGGCACACCCCGCAGGAAGGGACGCACATGCTGGAGCAGGACATCTTTGGGTTCAGCTGGGAATGCTGCAAGACAAGGCAGGGACTCATCCCAAATCCCTCCTGCTCCAGTCCCATCTGGGATCTGTGTCCCGGGACAGGCTCGGGATCATCTCCGGCACTCCCAGCACGATCCCATTCCATTGAAATGCCTGCTCTGATCTCCTGCTCCCCTCACCATCCCTGGGTCTCGCTTGCCCATGGGAGTCAAGAAAAGTCCCACATCGGAAGTGGATGGAAAATCCTCAAACTCCTAAAACAGTTTGAGTGCATTGGTACAACCCCAACCATCCCAACTCTGCACATGGGAGAGTGCGAGGAGCACAGCGACAAAAGCTCATCGAGAAATCCCCAAAGGTTCCTCAAGGAATCTTCAGCCAAAGGTTCCCGGAAAAACCCCCATAGGTTCCTTGAGAAATCTCCAAAGGTTCCCTGAGAAACCCGCAGACAAGGATCCCCAAGAAAACCCCCAGACAAATGTTCCCTGAGAAATCTCCAAAGTTCCCTGAGAAATCCACATCCAAATGTTCCCCAAGAAAGCCCCAGAGGAAGAAGGGAGGACAAGGGAAGTCTTGGACTCACCACAGCGATCAGTGAAGAGGGTCAGGTGAAGGCAGCTGGATGGAGCCCTGTGGAGCTCTCGGACCTTTTATACACCCCAGAGTGCCCGGGGCAGGGTCCAGGGGGAGGGGGCAACCCCCAGTAATTACGAATTCACGCTGACCAGCTTCATGACACAGGTAATGATGGGGGACAATTCTTTGTCATCCCCTCGGTGGGGACAATGTCCTGGACCAGACGATGATGGGAGGGACAGCCCTGGAGCTCAGTTTGCAGCCCAAATAAACTCTGGTCTGTCCCTAATCCCTCCCTTGGCTCACAGAGAATCCTGAAAATGCTTTGGGATGAGGCTGTGCCCAGCCCCGTCACCCTGAGCCCCAGCCCGGCCATGGGCAGCAGTGTCCAGCTGGGCCTGTCCTGGGGGCACAGCCAGGGCCAGTCTGATTCTGGGAGGGGCTCGGCCAACACGCCCTGACTCGGCCCTTGGGGCCAGCTGGGCACTCCAGGTCCTGMARRAGGGCTCAGGCCAGACCTAATTCATGGACACGGGGCCAGAGGAGCCCCGGGGACCCGGCCCCGCTGCTGCCCTTCCGCTCCTCCCGCCGTGTCCCCTCTGTCCGAGCTGTCC